AGTTGACAAAAAAAAATACTAAACAGTGTAGTGCACAGAGAGTAATTGTATTCCTAAATATATAAGTCCAATGTGAAGTCAAAAAGACATGGCTCAGTCTCACTGAATTCTTCCCCAAAGTAAGGGTTCATGTTGTTCCTCATGATGAGAACTTTGCACAATTTTCAGCTGCTGACTCCTTTGTTGAGCTTCTGTTATGGTAGTCGTAATACTTAATTTTCTGGTGATAAAGTATTTTTTTTCCTACTCTCTACATTAAAGTCCTTTACTGTGTAGAAGACTTAGGGGAAGAGCAGAGTTTCTATTACTCTGGGGAATACTGCATCCTGGACATGACTTTCCTATTCCAGATTTGTGGCTTTACAGGGTCCCAATAGGATGCAATCTCATGAAGAACAAAACACTCAAGTAAAGAAGGCCTATTCTGAGAGAAGCTGGAAAGTGATGTGGAGATGCCTCAGTGTCCAGAGGAGATTAAAAGATCAAGATGTGTGGGAGAGGAAGGAGAGCAATGTTGGAGAGAGTGAAAGAGAATGAATGTAAATTAATTCAACCAGCTTTTATTAATTTTTTTATCATATCTTTTCTGTGAAAAACACTGAAGACCACAGATGAGACAAACTCCATGTAGTAGTCTGTGTTGGTGCTGTTAAGCTGTTTTTCATTGTCCACACACCAACTGCTCAGCTCTTTCTCTAGGAGGAGTTCCTGAGTCCAGGAAAGGTGGGTAAAGCAGTTTTGTGGGATGATATTGTTCAGGAATCAATCACTGTGGGAGGCCTTTTCAGTCTTTCAAGACAGTGGTGAACTTTGAAATCTTCAGGCTGAAAGTCTACAATAATAAGGGTGAAATTTGTCCCCAATCTGGTGCTAATGAACCTGGTGGGGACTCCGCCAATCTTGACCGAAGTGTGGTAAATGAAGGTCTTGATGGTCTGTCATGGACTCTGCTGGTCACAGGACAAGTACCATCTCTGTAGAGGAGGCTCTGACTGGCCCTGCAGAAGATGGAGACTTTCTCTCCTGGAGAAACCTGAAGGGAATCTTCTGACTGGGTGAGCATGATCTGCCCATTCGAAGCTGTGATCAGAGGCACACAGGGATACAGAGAGTATGTGAGATGTTAGAACAGAGGTTCCCACTATCAGGAGACCAGGACCTGCCATACCTGTGCTGCAAATGGCTTTTACTCCTTACCAATCGCCAAAGCAACTTTGAGGTCAAAGTTATCTTGGCATTTTACTTGTGGCACACATGAGAAGGAGGAGGAGTGGAAATGTGATTATCTTGCTGCCTCTCAAGCTTCTGAGAATGCTCTGGCCCAACAAAAGACTCCATTTGTAATTCCTGATCACAGGGAAGGGACAGTGATATATGCTAATGCAAACTCAATGAGGATGAAGGCTGAGCAAGTAGTATAGAGGGCTGTGGTCACCCCTGCATCTGATGTTAACCTCAGCCTTCCATCTGTTTCCTGCCTTTACTCTAACCCCTGAGGATTTCCTCTGGTAGTGCCAAAGGCATTGTGCTTGTTGTGTGAAAGCCACTGCCACCTCTAGGATAAACAGCAGTCTGGGGCCCAGGGAGATTGCTCTTAGGAATTAAAACCTCTGTAATTTGGGGCCATGAGCAGCCCTTAGCTGCAACAGTGACTAAAATATAAGGCCCAAAGCTGCTCTGGTGAGGTCTCAGACAAGGCTCAGTTGCTCCTGTGACTGTGGGGCACAGACTCTGTTGTTGTGGAATGTTGTGCCCATTCTTTACCTGGGAATGTGTTACGCTGTGATCCAGACACAACTAATCTAACAACCCAGATAGCTGGCTACTATTTCTTAATATATCCCCAGAATGGATTTAGGCCGTGGTCTGTAACATTTTTCATTAAATGAGATGAAATAATAAAGTGGAACCAAAGAAAATAGTCATCATGTTTCCCTGTTGGACTAATTTCCACCTGACCAATCATTTCTTCTTATTATTAAGTGAAATTAGCAAATCATACAATTCTGTGGGAAACCACAAACTCCACAATAAAAAGAACTGTCATTCATTGGTCACTAATATCTATCAACATCAATAGACTCTACTCTTCAATAAAAAGACATCGGCTAACAGAATGCAGAAATGGGATCCAACTTTCTGCTGCATTCAAGAAACACAGCTCAGCAACAAAGTAGATACTACCTAAGACTAAAGGACTAGAAAAAGTTTTTTCAAGCAAACGGGTCCAAGAAGCAAGTTGGAGTTGCCACACTAATATCTAATAAAATAGACTTTCAACTAAAATTAATCAAGAGAAATGGAGAAAGACAGTTCATTCTCATCAAAGAAAAAATCCACAAGGAGGACATCAAAATCCTGAACACCTTTGCCCCAAATACAACTTCACCCACATTTGGAAAAAAAAAAAAACAAAAACATTCTCCTCTCTGTCCAAGGATCAGTGAGCCTTACCTTACCCAACTAGACTTGAAAGCATTCAACGGTCAATGTGTGCTTTAATCTTTTATGGGAGATACTACTTTGAATCAAGATTAAATAATTATTTTCCACTACTTTTGCCTATCTTGATAACATGAGTTTAAAGCTGATTTGACACAAAATATTCTTGTTTATATGGCTGTGTTCATTACCAGAATAAATAGTTTAGAAATATTTTTTTTCTTTTCATTATTAATCATCCATATTCTTTAAATGGGTAATCTTTACATTCCAGGAATGACCTTATTTTTCTTTATTAAACTTCTGATATCATCTATGTATAAAACTAGTTTCTGACTTAGTTATTAATTAAAAATGAAAGCACTCACAGAAATCACAGGCAATTATTTGACATAAATATACACTTGAGTTAGGCAGGAATACATTACATTTTTTGGCTGACACTGAATAAGTAAACAAACTGATGCACATTCACCTTCTAAATCCCACAGTCTCCATGTGTTCTGCATATAGACAGAACATGCATGGGCAGCAGCAAAAACTTGGAGAGCACCTGCCTATCAACCCTGCTCCTTATCCTGTCGTTGATGAAAAAATTAACTGTATCGTAATATATATACATTATACATAATGTTGGATTTTATAAAAGCAATCTACTTTCAAGATTATGTTTTATAATCATATTTATACCCAATGTTGGTGAGATCTTACAATAAATTGAAAAAAAAACTATAATCATCTGAGAGGGACCAACTTCAATAGAGAAAAAGCCTTACTAATACTGGGCATTGGGCAAGCCTGTAGGGTATTTTATTAATTACTAGTTGATGGAGGAGGATGCAGTCCATTGTATGTGATGTCAGCCACTGATGTTGAACTTGGGTTCCTCAACAAAACTAACTGAGCAAGTTATGAGGAGGAATGCTACTTACTGGATGGCCTGCGCTCAGCTTCTCCCTCTGGGTTCCTTCCTTGTGTGAATTCCAGCCCTGACTTCCCTCAGTGATGGATTGTTACCTGGAAGTATATTAAGAATGAAGTTTCCCATCATTTTATGTTGCTTTTGGTCATGATGTTTTATCATAGCCATAATAATCCTAGATAAGACACACCCTTTACCCTCCTCTTTCTCTCTTTTCCATGTTTCATTTACTACAAATTTCTTTGTCACCTAGTTCTCCTTCTATATACCCACTAGAGTTGTGTTTGTGTTTATATGATTATGTTTAAAATATAAGATTTGTAAATGAGAGGGTAAATTTAATCATTTTCTTTCTAAGCCATATGTCCACCTCTACCTCTTACTCATGGGTCACATAGCACTTTGAATTCTCCCTATCTGCTCTCAAATGTAGAGACCGTGAAACCTCATTCTATACCAAAGAAGTATGACTCTGTCTTGATAGACTGTACCTTTCAAGCTTTTATCTCAAATTTATGAGTAAATTTAACATTTATGATGTGGAAAACCAAAGCACCCATATAAACAAGATGTTACCTAATGCCATCTATGTATTCCCTAAAAGCAATTTGATCAACTGTTTTGGAGGCCATGGGTACAGAGGGTATGACAGTATTATAGACCAGATAAAACTGTTAATGTATTACATCTGTCTTTTTGCAGTTGTAATATATTCCTGATGGATTCTTGCTTCTTATTAGTTATTTTTCTATTGTTATGATAAGAAAGCGTTTATTGGGGCTTTCAGAGGAATAGAAACTGTGATAGCAGAATGAAAGCAGCAGGTGGTAGACCTTGTTTTAGCTGGAGCAGAAGCTCAGGGCACATCTCAAAATCTATGTATGTATTTAGATATGCATGTATGTATGTATGTATGTATGTATGTATGTATGTGCACCATGTGTGTGCCATAACTGGAATTATAGATGGCTTAGAATATTCAAACAATTGCTTGAAATCAAATGTAAGTCTTCTATAAGAGAATCAAATGCCCTTAACTACTGACTTGACTGTGTATTCCCAAACCTTTTTGTTTTAATGTTCATTTCCTTTATCTGTTCCATTCTTTCTTTCCCATCCACATTTCCAAATCCCTCTTTAGTCCAGATTTCCCTCTCCTTCTGTACATCCTTTTCTTTTTTCCTTTTTCTCACATACCCTACTACTTTCCCCTTCTTTCTTTCCTTTCTTCTTTCTGCTTCTCCTGTTTCTGTTTCTGCTGTTGTTGATCATGATACTTATTGTTTCCTCAGGATTGTAATCAAAGGTTTTCTAATGTTATTTCTATTAAACTTACTTGCTTTAAATGTTTTTTTTTATTTTTATTGGAAGCCTGTCATGAGTGCATTTTGATATTTGCAGACTGAGAGCTCTATGTTGGTACTTGAGTTCCACATTGACTTTTTCCCCTAGTGATTGGTTGCTCGCTTTGATGATATTTTTGGCTGTAAATTTAACCTGGATTCTCTCACAACCCAATACTCTGGCTATTTACTTTCTCATTTGATGTCTGCTTTGCATAGGTCCCTACAAGACAGCCCAGCTGTCCATAATTTATAAACCAGGCCTTTTCATTGAGACTGAAAAGCATCAGACACACTGGTCCATCAAGATGGATTCACAGACCCAGTTTTTCATATTCCTGATCCTCTGGATGTCTGGTGAGACATTAAAGACTATTAGAATATCATCAAAATAGTTCATTTGTAAAGAAACAGCTCTTTACTATAGGAATCCAATTATATGCAGGCAATGCCATTAGAAAAGTCATTTTTGATTATAACTTTTGTATCAGAAACTCTTTGTATGTATATGTGTATACTAATTGTCTGTTTCTGGTTGCAGGTGCTGAAGGGAACATTGTGATGACCCAGTCTCCTGAATTCATGTCCACATCTGTAGGAGAGAGGATCTCCCTAAGCTGCAAGTCCAGTCAGAATGTGGGTACTGCTATAGCTTGGTACCAACAGAAATCGGGGCAGCCTCCTAAATTGCTAATCTACTCTGCATCATCTCGATACACTGGGGTCCCTGATCGCTTCACAGGCAGTGGATCTGGGACAGATTTCACTCTCAGCATCAGCAGTGTGCAGGCTGAAGACCTGGCAGTTTATTACTGTCAGCAGGGTTACAGCTATCCTCCCACAGTGCTTCAGCCTCCAACACAAACCTCCTTGAGAGTCTCACCAGCTGCCTGCACCACACACAACACTGGGCCTGCACACTTCCCCTTTCTGCCTGAATTCTGCCATGCATGACTGATTGATTTAGCCTTCAGTAGAAAATTAATCAAGAGATAGCCTCCATTCTTCCATAGATTTAGCAAAACTGGTGTTTATAGATAAAAAGGAGAAGCCAGGTTAAGAGATTTAGGTATGTTTTTTTCAATGGGTTTATATGTTAAAATCAAGAAGCATCAGTTAAGCTTACAGTGTCATGGCTGGCTAGATATCTCTTTGTTATGCCTTTAGGCCATGATAAATCTGTATAAAAATAATATAGAATTCAAAATCCTTTACAAAGAACACATCATCTTGAGATTATTAGTTTAGATTAAGATTCCTCAAGGTTTGGTAAATGAATTCTATCAGAAAATTGTCCATTTTATTTAGATTTTCAAATTCTGTGGTGTATAGGCTTTTGAAGTTAGAACTAATGATTTCGTGAATTTCCTCAGGGTCTGTCGTTATGTCCCCCTTTTTGTTTCTAATTTTGCTGATTTGGGTAGTTTTTCTCTGCCTTTTAATTTGTTTGGCTAAAGATTTGTCTATCTTGTTGATTTTCTCAATGAACCGTTGATTCTCTGAATTGTTTTTTTTTCATATACTAAGGAGTTTAATGCTGTAATAATAGATTGCTGTATAAATATGAAATATCTGGATTGCCGTATCAGCATAAAGAAAGATAAGGAACTCTGGGCAACTGCTCATATGCTATGCTTTGTTATATATATCTGTGTCTCCTTCAAATATGCATTTGATTTTTTAAATTTATTTGTCACAATTTATTCACTTTGTATCCATCTATGTCCTACTCCCTCATCTCCTCCAAAATACACCCTCCCTTCCTTTTCTCCTCCCACACCCCTGAGTCAGTCCACTGATAGGTTTGGACCTCATACCTACCATCTGACCAAAGCCTCAGGTCTCATCAGGACTGACTGCATTTTCTTACTCTGTGGCATGGTAAGGCTGCTCTCCCCACAGAGTAGGTGATCAAAGGGCAGCCACCGAGTTCACGTCATAGTGAGCCCCTGCTCCCCTAACTAGGGAACCCACTTGGAGACTGAGCTCCCATGATCTACATCTGTGCAGGGGTTTTAGGTTATCTATATGCATGGACTGTGGTTGGAATGTTAGTCTCAGAAATGACCCCTGGACCCAGATTTTTTGGTTCTGTTGTTCTGTACAATGCCTTCTAACAGGTTTAGTGTGTCTGGTGTTATGTTGAGGTCTTCAATGCACTTAGAATTTAGTTTTGTGCAGGGTGATAAGTATGGATCTATTTGTATTTTTCCACATGTAGCTATCCAGTTAGACCAGCACCATTTGTTGAAGATGCTATCTTTTTCACATTGTATGGTTTTGGTATCTTTGTAAAAAATCAGGTGTCCATAGGTGTGTGGTTTATTTCTGGGTCTTCTATTCGATTCCATTGATCCACCAGTCTTTTTCTATATGAGCACAGTGACGTTTTTATTTAGTTGGTCTATATTACAGCTTGAGATCAAGAATAGTGATACCTCCAAAAGATCTTCTATTGTACAGCTTTGTTTTAGTTATTCTGGGTTTCTTGTTATTCCACATGAGATGGAGAATTTTCTTTCAAGGTCTTTCAAGAATTGTGTTGGTCAAATCTATGAAAGACCTCGGCAGAAATCCATACATATTAAATCAGTTAGAAGAAAAAGTGGGGAAGAGCCTAGAACTCATTGGCACAGGAAATAACTTCTTGAACAGAAAACCAATAGCATAGATGAACAATTAATAAATAGGACCTCATGAAACTGAGAAGGTGCTGTAAAGCAAAGGTCACTGTCCTCAGAACAAAACAACAGACTACAGACTGGGGAAGTATCTTCACCAACCCTATATCTGACAGAGGGCTAATATCCCAAATATATAAAGAACTAAAGAATTTACAAATGATAAAATCAAGTTATCCAATTAAAAAATTGGGTACAGAGGTAAACAGAGAATTCTCTTTAGAGGAATATATAATGACAGAGAAACACTTAAAGAAATGCTCAGCATCCTTAGTCACCTAGGAATTGCAAATCAAAACAACTCTGAGATTTCAACTCACACCCATCAGAATGGCTAAGAGTAACAACACATGCTGGAGAGGATATGGAGAAAGGGGAACCCTAGTGCACTGCTGGTGGGAATGTAAACTTGCACAGCCAGTTTGGAAATCAATCTGGCTCTTCCTCAGACAATTAGGAATAGCGTCTCTTCATGATCCAGTGATATCACTCCTAGGGCATATATCCAAAATATGCTCAAGTACACAACAAAGACATTTGCTCATCCATGTTCATAGCAAATTTATTTGTAATAGCCAGAATCTGGAAACAACCCAGACATCCCTCAACAGAGGAATGGATACAGAAATTGTGGTACATTTACACACTGGAATACTCCTCAGCAATTTAAAACAAGGAAATCATGAAATTTGCAGGCAAATGATGGGATCTAGAAAAAATCATTGGCGTGAGGTATCCCAGAAGAAGAAAGACACACATTGTATATACTCACTTATATGTGGACATTAGAAATATAATATAGGATAAACATAAAAAAATCTGTACACCCAAGGAAACTAATAATGAAGAGGGATCCTGTGTAAGATGATTAATCCTCACTGAGAAAGACACATGGGATGGATATTGAAAGAAGAAGAAACCAGGAAACAGTACAGGAGCCTACCACTGAGGGCCTCTGAAAGACTCCATCCAACCATCTATCAATGCAGATGCTGAGACTCATAATCAAAATTTGGGCATAGTGAATTCACTTATGAAAGAAGTGATTCTTATGAAAGAAGTGAGAGATAATAAGACCTGGATAGGACAGGAACCCCATGAGGAGAGAAACAAAATATCTGGGCACAGGGGTCTTTTCTGAGACTGATTCTCCAACCAAGTACCATTCATGGATGGTACTAGAACCCCTGCTCAGATATAGCCCCTGGCAGCTCAGTATCCAAGTGGGTGCCATAGTAAGGGGAACAGGGACTGTCTCTGTCATGGCTGGCTCTTTGAGCACCTCCCCCTGAGTAGGAAATAGCCTGGTGAGCCCACAGAGGAGGACAATGTAGCCAGTCTCATTGAGATCTGATAAGCTAGGGTCAGATGGAAGGGGAGGAAGACCACCCCTATCAGAGGACTTAGGGAGGAGAATGGGAGGAGATGAGGGAAGGAGGGTGGGATTGTGAGGGAATGAGGGAAGGGGCTACAGCTGGGATATAATATGAATAAATTATAATGTATTCATTATAAATTATAAATAGTCATCATGTTTCCCTGTGGGACTCATTTCTACCTGACCAATTATTTTCTCTTATTATGAGGTGAAATTAGCAAATTATACAGTTTTGTGAGAAACTCTTGAATAATGTTATTTTCATGTTTCATAGTCTCCTCTGGTAATGTTAGCTTGCTGAAAAGCACTTACTCTTCACTCTGTCTCTCCGCATCCTTAGATGTCACAGGTTGTTTGAGGAAGAGGATGATTAGGTGGGCCTCTCTCTTTTCTGGATTCAACTTCCTGAAGTTCCTCTCAGTGTGAGAAGATGACCTTCTGTGCCCATACTGAGAGTTGCTTTCTCTTCCCTGGTTTCCATCTCTGCTACTCAACTTTCAATGATGCTTTGGCTTTAGTTTCACAAATCAGAATCATGAATACATTCCTTATTGACACAAAAAGACAATTCTCACCTCAAAGAGGATATAAGAGATAGTTTCTTCTGGAACCAAATATGGAACCACAGATTGCTTCAAAAGAGATTCAAGTTTCCTCTAATACCATGGTCCAACCAGGCTCCAGTTTTATGTTGTATTTTTAGTAATTGAACAATAAGTCACAAACAGCACACTTTTCAAACAGGTTGGTGAAAACCTCAGAAAAGCAGGGTCGTCTCTGGGATTTGAGTTCAGCAGAAAGTTTCCTACAGTAGTGCAAGCATATTTAAAAGGATTTTATGTGCCACTGTGTTGACTCTGCACCTCCTAGGCTTTCTGAAGAGGTTTATGGTGGAGTGCTCTGTGGGTTCCCTATGTGACATTGCTTCAGGAATACTTTGACCACTCAAAACTAAGCAAACAACAATTCATTTCACAGTATGGTTCTGTTCAGTAAAAGAAACAATTTTGGTTTTAAAAAAAAAGTGAAAGAAGATGGCCTGGCAAAGAATAAAGGGGGAAGTTACACCTACTAGATGGCCTTTAAGTCAAATTTATAACTGTCATCAGGCACTAAAAAGGCTGAAAGGGATGAAGATGAACTGCAGATGAATGCTGGGAATACACAAAAATGGATGGACTTAATTTACTGTGAGTAAAGCAGGTTCTTTCTTTTGTCTAGTCCCAAAGCTAATTCAGGGTTAACCTGATATTATCACAGACTGCAAAATCATTCCATTGAGTCTGATTCAGAGTCAGGAGTATCTAGTCTTCTATATCATCTTGTCTCCTGATCTCAGAACTGAGGATTGTCTCCTATATCAGAACTGAGTATTGTCTCCCAGTTTGTCTCCTAAGTCACAGTACTGGGAAAAGTTATATAATTAGTTTCTTTCTAAGACACCATAAATAAAACTTTTAACATAAATATTCCTTGGAGCTTAATAGTTTGGGGAAACACTTGAAAACATGTTATAGAGAAATGGTGGCCTGAATGAATGAAAAATTTCTTCTATAGACTCATGTATTTGAGAACTTCGTCCTCAAGTTAGTGGTGCTGATGACAGTGGGAGGGAGGAGTATGGAATTTTTAAAATGTAGGACCTTGCTGGGGGAAGTATTTCATTGTTTTGGGATTTTGAGTGTTTATGGCCTCACCTCACCTCCAGTTCATGCTTTACTTCCTATGTGCTCTTAGAGGTTCAGATATGCTCTCTCATATTCCTGCTCAGGTCTCTTACCACTGCACCTTCCTTGCCATATGAATACCTAGTCCTATGGAACTTTAAGCCACAATAAACTCTTCTTTAAGTTGCTTTTGATCATGGTATTTTATCACAGCATCAGAAAATAGGTAATGCAGGAAGCATTTCATTATATATATATATATATATATATATATATATATATATATATATCCACAGATAAGCATGCAAAAGGCATTATAAAATAAAAATAAGTGTGTAAGTCAGGCCTGTAGAAATAGGTCATCGGTAAAGTTCTTGCTGTGCAAGGCTGAAGAACTGAGTCCAGATCCCCATCAGTCACATCAGATGCCAACTATGGTGATGCAAGCTTATAATCCCACAGCTGGGAAGGCAGAGTGACAAGAGGATTTCAGAACCTTGTTGCCCAGTAATATTAATAAAGTCCATTCATCTTTATTTTCAGTGAGTGAAGAAAGGTAAAGAGATTGACAAGATTTTTACATTGACCTCTGACTTTTATTTGTACGTATATGCAAAATGTATGTGTTTAAGTGTATGTGTGTGCATGTGCATGGGTCTACGTATATGATATGTATTTCAGCAAAATTGAATTTTTATGCATGAAATAATTAATTTGTCCTTATATACTGTATTAGCTTTTATATCACTGTGATATTGATCATGACCAAAATAAATGTGGGAAGAAAAGGGCTTATTTGGAATATATGTCTTGATTAGTCTAGCATGAGAAAAAGTCAAGGCCTGGACTCATGGTAGTAATATGGAGTCAGGAGCTGAAGCAGAGCATGGGGAATGTTGTTTATTGTCTTGCTTTCCATGGGTTGCAAGGACCAAGAATTAAATCTCACCAGCAGAACATGTTTACGCTCCAACTAAAGGTTGTTGACTTCTCCAAAGTCAGCTCTTTCATTATTATGCCAGTGAAAACAAATTGCTTGTCATGTCAATCGTGGATGGATATCACATGAATTTGGTTTAATCATTGTGTTGAGAGGCTCTCTGATCAGAGGCTTTCTCAGAAACCCCAATGAAAGAACAAAGAGAAAGTTAGTTTTGTGTCCTTGCCCAGGGCAGGCTTGGCAATATTCAGTCTGAATCTGGGGATTGGGGCTTTAAGGACTTAAGGATTCAGTTCTTGTGAAATGGGCTTTCTCCTCTGAAGGGCTATATTATTTCATGGTATTAAAACTAAGAAATGTTCTTTAATTTTTTTATAATTATCATTTATTTCAATTTATTCATTTGTATCCTGGCTGTGTCCCCCTCCCTCATCTCCTTCTAATTCCACCCTCCCTCCTTCTTCTCCCCTTCTGCCCCTCCTGTAGTCCACTGATAATAAATGTTCTAATAATAAAAAATAATTATTATTTACTATGAAGTTTCATAGTATTAAATAATAAAAATGGTATAAGAATAAAAGTTAAATTTATTTTAATAAAAAACATATATAAAAGATAAACTATTTTAATTAATAAATACTTATATATATAAAGGTTGAGATAACTATATGTTTACAGAATAAAATATAAAAGGTTTTTACAAGTTCTGATAGTCTAAGTAAGTTATTTAAAGTCCTAAAGAAGCTAAACAACAAGGAGGTCCCTAGGGAACATGCTTCATCCTCATTCAGGTCTGCTTTTCTGTGTTACTTGGTCTTTTTCCTTTGCATTTTTAAAATATTTTTTTCTGCATGTTTAGTGTTTTGATTATTATGTGAAAAGGAGAATTTCTTTTCTAGTCCAATCTCTTTGGTGTTCTACATGTTTCTTGTACCTTTATATTCATCTCTTTCTTTAGGCTAGGAAAATTTTCTTCTATAATTTTGTTGAAAATACCTTCTGAGCTTTGTCTATTTGGGGTGGTTTTTATGTTCTTTTGTTTCTGCTTTCTCTCTGGAATATCAGAGAGAGAGCATGTTGCCTGTTTTACTGGGCTGCTCTGCTTGGTGTGTTCACAGAATGCTGGTGTTTGAGGGGAGGTGAAGAGGCATTTGGGGGATATGGGTTCTGTTGCAGTGCTAGGGGCAACCATGAGAATTGGAGTGAAACAGAGAGAGTGGAGTGTATTCAAAGAAAGCCTACCTGCTCATCTGGCCAGCATGCCTGTGGTTGAGCAAGGGGTTTTTGCCCAAGTTGGGGACTTGCACAGAGTCACAAGGGTAGGAAGGGAGGCAGGAAGTGATGGCTTGTGGGATCCAAAGGATGCATAGACATGGAGGAAGGGAGGCTGCATCTGGTGTGCTGTTGCACAGCTAAGGGCAACTCTGAGAATTGGGTCTGGGGGAACAGGTCCATCATCATCTTCCATCATCATCTTGACTGGTCTTCTGGCAAGTGTGTTCGGTCAGGATTCTTGTCTTTCAAACTTTCTTACTAGAGTTCTCTTTTCCTGTTTTTCTTTTCTTTTCATAAATTCTTGTAATTTTATCATATTTTAGTTAATTATTTTTGTGTGTGAGTTTGAGTGTGTGTGTGTATGTGTAGTTGCACATGGTTGTGGATGTCATAGGACAGCAATGAATTGGTCTTCCCTTTCTGCCATGTGAGTTCTAGGGATCAAACTTGTGTCTGATATCTGGTTTGATGGCAAGTGAGTTACCTTCTGAGCAATCTTGCTGCTCCTTAAAAATTTGTTGTTGTTAACTCACTGTACTCAAGCATCAGCAAAGCACTGTCTTTCAAGTATCATATACTTTCACAATATCCACTAACCTTCCTCATTTACCCTTCCTATTTTGCTGTTATATTTTCTTGCCCTTGTGTCTCTTTCATTTTTAACTAACACACACAGAAAAAGAGAGATAGATAGATCGAGAGAGAGAGAGAGAGCATCTATATTTGGATAGTTCTATTGAGTAGTCTTGTTACCAATATTTTTCTTCTTTTTTCTCTCCAGCCCTATGGTGTAAATATAAGACCTCAGAATACTAGGCAAAAGAAATATTTTTTATTATTATCATTTATTACAATTTATTCAATTTTTCCCTCCTCTTTCCCCCTCCCTCATCTCCTACTAATCCCACCCTCCCTCCTTCTTCTTCTGATATTCCCCTCCTCTAATCAGTTCCTTGGGATGAATACAATCTTTTTATTCCTGGATACTAGCAGTCCAGTTTAAAGACCAACACAAAGCAGCAATATAATTCAGCATGAATCAGAAGATTGTCAAAAGACAGCGAAAGTCTCAAGACTTGTTGGATTGACCAGAGAATTTCTTTGGAACATTTCTCTCTGTGAGGTCAAGTGTAAAAGCGTGAAGATCAGCATAGCAATGCCAATCCAAAATAAGATGAAAGGTCTATTTTTGAGCTACACTCTCAACATCCAAATACTGAGTTTTGTTGTTTATGCATATGTTTTCAGAGTTAGCCATTTGATATTGGGTAATGAATTAGTGTGCTATTTCTGGGAAGACCATTTTGCCAACCTTCACCATTCCTTAATTTCTATACTTAGGGTTGATGCCCTCTGAAGCTTTTTCCCTTCCTTAATAGTGTTTTTGTTGCTGTCATCTTGTTCAGTTCATGTTATGCAGACATATTGGTGAGACTTTATGGGTGTAGCTTCTGACATTCACAGCAGACACATTCTCACAGAAAATTTCCTA